CCGTGGCTGTTGCCTGGCATGCAGGGGCCCTGGGTTCAACTCCCAGCACTGGAGAGAAAAGGCATTTATTTTACTTTTGACACAAACAAGAAGCAATTAGGAGGAGAAAACGAGACATAAAAGGGTTGACAGTAAAAGTTGAATATTAACATGGTTACAATGATTATCCTACCAGCGATGGAGGCCTTACGTATTTCCTCCTGTCACTTGTAAAAACACACATAAACCAGAAATTATGGTTCACATTTAAAATTTTCATCCCTTTTTATTTGTCTGGCCAAAAAAAAAAAAAAGAAAACAAGTTGAAATTAAGAAATCTGCAGATGGACTACAGCTTAAAATGTGAAGGACATGGCAAGCGTCAAACTCTTGCTGACAAACAGGTCCCAGTCTAGCAAAGTCCAAGAATAACAAGGTGCTGCTCTTCCACTGAGTCTCAAGCTGCACTCATAAGAAGATGAGTAGAGTTAGTCTCTTTCTATGTGCACTGGAGAAAATTTGCCAAAGGGATGCTGTGACCTCTGAGGTCTCATGTGCACAAGAGGTCAGGCTAGGGAGAGGCCCAGTCTCCTGCCTTCTGCAGGAAGTTGAGTTGAGACGAGACACAGGGCTCTCAAATCCCAGGTCTCTTGAGGCTGTGGCTGCATCCACTGGGCACCAGCACCCACCATCTCTGCAGCTTCTCCTGTATCCCTCTTATTGATAACGTGAGTGGCTTCTTGTATCACGTTCTGGAGACATCTATTGACATCAGCTCCCACAAAATGTAAGTGAAAAGGACAGGTGACCTTGTATGAAAATGTATTTGGTCCTCTTTCCTGCTCTCTGAGTTTGGCCCTGGTTGAAGACTCTCAGTGCTTGGACATGTTTGTCTTCCCAGCTGCTCCAGACCACGCTGTGTAAACAAAAGTCAGCAGCTCTGGGCCTCAAAAGTCCAGCCCTTGTTCTCCGAGTTCGAGCTGAGCTTGTCTCTGTAGAACAATAAACAAAGCAGAGAGGCCCATTTGTACAGGATCTGAGGTGGCCGATGACTGCGCGAACAGCTGATGTGCTAGTCGTGACAGTCCTTCAGGAGGACGGAATTTATGTTGGCTGCTTTGGCTTCCTCGTCTTGGACATATTTGGTTTAAGGAATGTGAGGAATTTGCAAGCTGAGCAAGGTTATACATTCTGCTTTCTAACCAGGCTCCTTGTCACTGAAGGATGTTTCTAAAAAACAAATTCCCTCAGTAGGATCTGTGGCAAAAGCAGCACAGGGTTCAAAGGAATAGTTCAAATAGGAAACAAATCCTCCCAGAAAATGCACCAAGCTCTGCTGGAACACAGGACCTGGCAGTGAGTTTGAGAAAGAGGTGTTTGCATTTACTATCAAAACTTGTAACAAAATCCTAGAACCACATCCTCCCTCTACCTTTCAGACCAGTGATGCAGAAGAGGCTGACGGGACAAAGTAGCATGAATACATACTGCATGCCTACTATATAGCAACATGTCATTCCCGTTTTGCTGATGTGAAAACTGGGGCAGGAGTCACAGAAGTTAAATCACTTGGTCAAGTTGAAATACCGGATGGCAGAGCAGGAATTTAAACCAATTCTTGTGATATAACACGGCTGAATGTGTTCGGCTTATTCCTTCCTATCCCAGAATGCTGCCCAACTATGCATCTGTCACTCAAAGTGTAGACTCTTCAATGTGATAAAATATCACTATGCACTGAACTAGAATTAAGAATACATAAATCCGAAGTTTAATGACTTGTCAAAATCATATAACTAATATGATTTTCTAATTTGACAACAATCTTGAACACTCTCCTAATATTCTTCAATATAAAACTGGTGATGACACATAGAAAGCCTGATTTTTCTCACGTTTAATTTGCTTACCTCTTTCAGGAAAAAAAAAAAAATTACTATTGGATTCACTGTATGGGAATGAATCCTAAAGCACTGAGTTCATTTGGATTCCTAAGAACTAACAACCAAATCAAAAGGGGAAAATAAAATGGAACCACAGCACCATCTAGTGATAAAATTGTTGCTTTGCAAGAAAACCACTTCCCTAACCTGAATATTCATTATATTGGCCCAAAGAATTCTGGTGTCATGTACTGAACTAAAATCAAAAGGTTCAAAGATTTAAATAGCAAAACACAAACACTTAACCCTCTGGAAATAAAATAGGTAAAACTCCTGAACTCATAGGCATATACAAAGACTTTCTGAAGAAAACCCCAACGGCACAAGAAAATCTTTTTAAAAAAATCAACAAACACTGTATCAAATTAAAAAGCTTCTGCACAGCAAAGAAAATAACCAACAGAATGAAGAAAAAACCCACAGAGTGGTAAGAGAATTTTCCAGCTACACATCCAACAAAGGACTAATATCTAAAATATATTTAAAAAACTAAAGAAATTAGACCTCCAAAAGTAAAAGACCCAATCAAAAACTGGGCAACTGAAAGGGATACTTCCCAGAAGAAATACAATTTGTCAGTAAATACATGAAAAAATTTTTAACATTGCTGGCCATCACAGACATTCACATTAAAACAACCTTGAGATTCCATCTTCTTCCAGTGCAAAAACATTCCGTTACTCTGGAAAGAACGGCATCAATAAATCAAATGCTGGCAAAAAGGGTGGGAATATGGGGGGAACGGTAACTTTCCTACATTGTTGATGAGAGTGTACACTAGTACAATTACTATAGAAAGCAGTAGGAAGATGCCTCAAAAAACTATAGAAATTCCATTTAAGCTATTCTCCTCCTTTATCCCGAATGAGGTAAAGACATCATATTACAGTGATACATGCATACCCACGTTTATAGCAGCACAATTGATAGTAGCCAAATCTTGGAAGTGGTCTATATGTGCATCAACAGATAGATGGATAAAGAAAATGTATTTGTACACCATGGAGGACTGCTCTGCTATGAAGGATAAATTTGAGTCATTTGTAGGAAATTGGATGCATCTCGAGACCATAATGTTAAGTAAAATAGATCAGACACACAGACTTACATGTGATTGGTCTTATACGAGAACCTCAACTGTAAATGGGTTAAAGAATAAAATAAAGGATAGCTAATAGGAAACAGGGAACTAGACCTTTTGCAAATAAGGGTACCAGGAGACTAGGAGTGGTGGGAGAAGGGGACACAAAAAGAATTAAGAGTGTCAAGTACCTGTATCAACTCCCCACAAGGAATGAGGTCATTATGTATCACGGACGTGTACTAATACGAAAATGTCTGCTGGCAATAAATAATGAGAAATGAAGAGCACATAAGCAGGAGTGGGACAGATTAAATCTTCACTGGCCGCTGCGAAGCAAACCCACTACCCCTGAAAGGTGTGCTTCACACGCTCTTTCCTTTCCTCCGCGTATCCTAAAACTTTAGCTACTATTTTATGGACTTGATAAAGTGTTCAAGTTCAGCTCATTAATACCATACTCAATACCATAGTCCCTAGTCAGTAATTGAGATATTTCCCCCAAATCTGACAGGACTAAGGGAGGTAGTCCAGTGGCAAAGGACTTCCCTAGTATGCTCAAGGGCCTCGGTTCAAATCCCAGTATCACAAAAAAAGTAAAAAATAAAAAAAGTCTCACAAGACTTGTTTGTGACCATAAAGCTATTAAGATCCAACCATCTTCCTAAATTTCCCTTCCCTCTGCTATGGTTTGGCTTTGAAATGTCCCCAAAAGTCATAAGCTAAAGGTCTGTTTGTCAGCTGATCGAGTTTTTGGAAGTGGATACTTAGAGCTCTAACCTTATCAAGTGGATTCATTCATGATGAGACCATAAGTCAATGGCATTACTGGAAGAAGATGGAAAAAGGAGGTAGGCCCTCACAGGAAGGAAAGGATCAGGGTGTGACTTTGGGAACTGTATCTGCTCCTCAGCACTCCCTCTCTGGCTTCTAGCTTCTTGTCTCTGCTTTCTGTGTCCCATTAGGTAAGAGATAAAAAGCTTTCCTCTGCCAGGATGTGCTGCCTCCCCACAGGCCCAGAAATAATGCAGCCATCTGACCATGGACTGAAACATCCAAAACCAGGCACCAAAATAAGGCTTACTTCCAATAGGTTCTTTTTCTCAGGTGTTTGGTTATAGCGACAAAGGCCGACACTCTCTCGTCCTGTCCTAGCTGGATGGCAAGTGTGAGACTTAATGCCATCTCTCAGGACCCACCAAGCATCACAGGACCCAACAATAGTTACTTAGTACAAAAACATGTACTTTGAGAGCCAACGATAACAAACTAGAAATCTTTATGATCTCAAAGTTTAAATTTTCGCTGAAAGTATTTTTTTAAACTTGTGGTCAAGCAGATGTATTTGGTTATCTTGTAATTCATATGGTGCAATTAAAAAGCTATCTGAAAAAAAAAGAAAAATAATTTCAATTACAGAAAAATAAATGTCAGTGTTGATGCATGCACAACTTCAACAGTGAAGCTAGTTTTTATTCCAAGGGGTTGCTACATCATTTCCAGGCCCTGGCTGTCAGCGCCTCTCTGGGAAGGCAGGAGTGCAGCAAGGCCTCGCTGGACACCAAGCGAGTGTTGTCATAACCAACACAGCACAGCGGAGGAAACACAGTAATACAGCAGAGAAATCCAGCGCGGCAGTGGTGACTTACACGATGTTAGGAAATTTCCCACGTCAGATGCATTAGCTACAAAATGGAGGTGAAAAATATCACTTGAAGTGTTAGTTAGTGCCAAAGGATACATATGAAATGTCTACCAGACATTTAAGTACTCAAGAAATGGTAGTGCATGATTACTACAAGTGATAGCATGTTTCTTAATATAGTATATGGCTCAGTATTGGTGCTAGGTCAACCTAGACATATGGCCAAATTTGTCTTGAGACCTCCAAAATCCATAGGGAAACTTGGCCTTGAAAAATAGACAAAAAGGCAGGAAAAGACATCTGAATCCACTGTGAGCACAGAAGATACACCACCAAGAGTCACACACTCTGCAAAGCTTTTAAAGACAGGTTTATTTATATATAAGTGCATGAAATTGAATACAGAAACTTTATTAAAATACTGTATATTACAAATTTTTAATCCAATAAATTCTGTGTAATGACATTTAAGTGCTGGATTCACTTTTAACAGATGTTTTGAGTGTTATCAACAAAGAGTTCACCCTGTACATTACAAAGAGGAGAGCCACACACGGACCTCAGAAATGGTCCGCGACCAGACAGCAGATGATATTAACTGTGCATCTTTTCTTTAAAGCAATGAATTGAAACGCAAATCTTGTCTTGTTAGACCACCTTTTTCATAATCAAAAATAACTTGCATATGTTTATTGCTGCCCTGTGAAGAAAACGAGAGTGGTGAAAAATAATTTAAATAAAGACCAACATTTCTAAGGCTAACCTGATACTTACTACAATTAAAATACTTAAAATTCACTGCAAAATGTTCTCCGGGAAATTATGCTATATACACAATGAGATTTGTACATGAATTGGGAAATAAAAAAATTGCTTATATAAAATTAAAAATCAATAGTATACAATATTTACAGCTTGTTAGGTATTCTATATAAAGTTTTTTAAATAATCCTTCAAAATTAAACTGTATTATGTAAACATGCAGTACACATACTCATACAGTGTAGCTTATAGTCATAACAGAGGGGAAGTTGTGTTCACATAATGCAGGGTACTTCAACAAATATGCTTTTGTTTTTCTGTATTACCCCTCCAATGCTTATCCTTCCTATTTTTAAGCTTCACAGTACATTTAATATATTTCTATAGTAAAAATAAATCCCTGATGATAAACGTATTTCTAAAGGTTACATACATAAAGTGTCTGCCCCGTACTACAATATAAAACACTGTTCACACTAGGATCTCTAGTTTACAACAAAACTAAAAATTTAAATGGTTCACTACATTTTTTCCCCATTTCATACTTTCTTGCAAAAGGGAAAAAAATAGAAGAAAATGCCATACCATGAGAACATAATGAAAGTAGTTGTCATCTGTCATAGTCAATGGCTAAGTAGCTGATCTGCATTGAACCGTAAGAAGTTAGTAGCCAAGACCTACTTCCATGACACCCTTTATAAACTCCGGATCTCCAGTCACAGGTGACGTGTACACAACCAACTCATCGGTGTCAATCCTGACTTCTGCTAGATCCACTTTGCAAAAGTACTTTAACTTTCAAGGCACTGAGGCATCATTTAGTTTTCTAAAATGTTACTGTGACTTAACTAGCTGATTCAACAGTGATCTTTCAATGCCTGCCAGGTAAACCCATATAGCTGGTACTTCAATGAAGACATCTTAGCTAGTTAACTTTAAGATTAAGTTGCTATCAAAATGACTAGAGTCAAGGGATAATACTTATGGTAGGAAATCATACGAAGTTTAACAAGTTATAAATTTAAATGCAAAATACTGTGGAATTTCGTATTTGTTCATCTAAACATGCAGACCCCGGTGTGGGGGTGTGTGGGTATGCTGCTGAGAGAATTGTGTGTGGGTACGTTGCTGAAAGAATTATAGTATTTTTAATTTCTCCATAGTAAATGCACCCAATATCACAAACACTAAGAAAACATCAACAATTAGATTATCAACTCAACGAGTACTGAAAGTAACCCATTTTGTCCTACTCAAATAAGTAACCTCTACTTGCTTGCTATGAAGAAACTTTAAAATGTCCCATCCCAGAGATACTAAATGATGAAATCTACAAACTTTCAGTTTTTTAAAAAGAAGCTTTTCACTATCAGTAGAATTTTCAAGCAGTTATTCATTTCAACAGGGTTTTAAAAGCAGTGATGATTTTTAATAATTACCAATTCATATTCAGGAGAACCAGTTATGGTCATGGGCTTCAGATGATTGTGTATTTCAGTGTCTCTTTCTATACATTTGTGGCATACTGCTTTCTATATGTTACAGACCTACAGACATTTCCAAAAAACAAGTTATATTATTACTGATGGTACACATACTGTATATGAGGGCAGGAAACAATCTATAATAAAATGTAAGCGCTTCTTGCTGTCCTGACTTGCCGACAGCTATGTATTTTTCAAAAAGATACTGACAGCACAACCGTAGGTGTTGAAAATTCTCTTCCGAATCAGCACTCTAGCTTCCATCAAAAAATGGTACATGTTTAAACTATAATGTAGGACATCTGTCTGGAAAAAGGATGAAGCACTTTACATGAACTGTCAAATTAGTTCTTAAAATCAAGGATGGGTTGTTATGTAAATTCAACATATATGCAATGAATGCAAAGAATGTGAAAGTGAATCCCCTAAATTCAGAGGGAGATGATTATGGTTCACAGCACAGTTCACTCAAAAATTTGAGTGTTGACACTAATTTAATAAAGAATTCATCAGTACATCTCCAGTTAGTGAAAATATTTCATATATTAAGTACTATTTTCCCCCAAATTCACAGCTATGTTTTGAGATAAATAATTCAGCAACCTTAACAATAGTGCATTTTCTGTAACAGAACAGAGATGCTCAAATTAGAAGGGCAAAGCCACAATCACATACACACACACGCACACACGCACATGTAAAGGACTTCAAATGTGCCGTGGCCAGGGCGCCCACACGCAAGGGACACAGAACTATGGAGACGCGCGGGACACACACACACGGTGTGTCTCATCTCAGCACAGTGGAAAGGGGGGCTGTGTTCTCACAATGCAAGGTGCTTCACACACCCAGCAGCTCTCCAACATTTATTCCTGCCTTTAAACTTCCTTAGCTACAAAACGGTACCACATTTGAAAAATGTTAAAAATTTTAATCAAATGATGTTCTTTCTACCTAGAAGAGTTTGAAAGGGATGAGAAATTAAGGGAGATTACCAGACCATTTTAATCACTGAGAGTCTCAGTCCTGATTATTAAAGGAAACAGTAATTTACCTAGTTACTCAATATACACCAAACTTCTCTGCAATCAAAGTCTAATTCTAATTTCTTCAGTAACTTTTCATGTCCCTCATGTCCCAAAAACTATGCTTAAAGAGATTCTGCTTGAGAATTTCTGGGAGAAAACTTTTAGCAAGAGAGAAGTAGTCTGTGAACACTTCAGAAAGTGCTCTTAGCATCGTGTAACTTCCTGAATTATAAAATGAGTGTATATCTAAAATAACTATTGCCTTTGGGGTTAAAAAAAACCCAACCAACCACCACCAGGACCAACAAGAAGCCTGGTCCACGTGAAGCCCAGCTCCACAGTCCTAACAGACTCGGCAGCACAACGCGGAGCCAGATGTCCGAGGTGGCAGAAGAACAGTGGATGTGTCGGGGGAGAGTATCCACTTTTCCATCTCCAAAACAAGGATAATAATCTGTATACAACAGAGAACCAATAAATGTTCTGAGTCAATCTAATCCATAGAAAATAGGCAAGAAATGGTAAAGGGGCAAACACTGGCCGCTTCTACTCTTTCTACTATAACCAGTGCTAACTGGAACCCATCATTTAATCTTGACTGCCCTAGCCATTCTGATCCTACCAATTCCCGAAGTGTTCTCAGACAAATGTCTGCTGATTTTAAAAATAGAAGGGTAGAGAGTCAATGAAGGAAGTGAGATTGTAAGAGAACTTTTTAATAGTTTTTTTCTTAAATATATATGGAAAATGTGGAAATGAAAGAAGAATGAATTGTACAAAACAGAATCAACTGCTATTGTGAAATACAACTTTAAAAATGTTCCAGTGACTACTGATCATTTACTGTAATTACGTATCATTTTGCCATTCATAAATTCTCATCATGATATGAAGTGTAATAATTTCAGAGTATGAAATGAAGCTCAGAGGTTAAATGGTTGCTTGCATCAGAAATTTGACAAGTGACAGCCTGGATATAAGCCTGTGTCTCTAGAGTCTAACACTCTTCACTCTGACATAGCAATGACATCTCAGCCAGTAAAATTCCATTTAGTGGAAGTAGTGGGAAAATTGAGGGGTTGGGAACCTGAACTGCTAACCAAAATCAAGAAGTGAAATGCTGTCCCAGTCTTTTTAGGATCTGAAACTGTTTTGCTAGCTCTCAGTGGACTCCAGGATAGGAGGTCCACTTCAGTCATCTTTGTTCTCCCAACAGACAGTACTTCATACAGCACTGCACACAGTGGATCTGGAGGAAGTGTTCACAAAACTGAGCTAGCTGGAACTGGGGTGCTGGCATGGGCACAAGAGAGTTACAGCCCCATGTTCCTCATTTTACTTGGAGGTTCTGAGACTCTTTTTTAACAACATTCTTTGATTTGGAAATTATCCCTGTTCCTACATCACAAATAGAAAATACACAGGGCAACTCTTTCTTTTTCCTCTCTCTCATTTACAATACAAATACAGCACTGTGAGCTTGGAAATGTAGGGGTGAAATGTATGCAGCAAATATGAAGACAGTATATTGGGTAACGGCCTGTAACACTGCGTGGTAAACATCAAGATCTAAAATAACAAGCTGCACACAATGAGTACACCACCATTCAGAACTTTCTACAGCAACCGACCAAACTGTGCCATGGGTAGTTAACTGTACTTCCTTCTTTTAAAGGTTTTAAGTATTGTTTGTAGCTTACGTGAGGCCCCCTTGGTTAACTGTGCTCTACTGACATTTCTAACCAGATGGGCATCTAGGAGTTCCATCTTTGGGGAACTGATTTCACTATTGGCAATATTCTGAACATTTTTAAAGCAAAAGTGTCAACTGCAGGGGATTGCCTCACTACCTACTTGCACTTGTCATAAAGAAAATTTACTGCTAAATCACATTCAAATTTTAAGAAAGTGTAGCCTAATTATGTCAATAACAGCTTTTGTCGTATCCCAAATAAGGGTATCCCGCACCATTACACCAAGAAAAATTTCCCCGGATAACGTCGAACATCTTCAAATCTATTTAAAAGACCATCCAACCAAACAAGTATTATCAAATTCACTAACACCAAAGTGTTCACTGAACAAAAGCTTTCCAATTGGAGTATATCCACATATCTCTCTATATATGTATATAATGATACATATGTATATACATATATATCATTAAACATTAGTCTGTATAGGAAAACCATGAACTTATAAAAACTCAGCATATAAATAGCTATGAAAACAACTGATAAATTCATACTATACAACTACACTTCAAATATCCAAAGAGTGACAGATGCACAATATCTCAATGAAAATAACTGAGAGCAGCAAAGAAACTCAAACTGTCCACCTAAATATTACAGTATACAACACACTCAGTTCTTAATGTAAATCAACTTGATACTGGCATAACTGCAGGGCATGTCACAAACTATTAATCACTCAATCAAACTTTCATCCTAGAATAAAAATAAGAGTTTAAATCTCTTTGGTCCATAATTCATATATTCAATGCATCCAAGTTATTTTCTGGATTATGAACCGTATGTTCCATATTATCTATGATAACTTTCATAAACCAAAATAAATATTCAGCCTGTACATCTGAAACAATTTCCACATATTATTGGTAACTCCTCTGGAAAGACATAAATGCTTTAGATTATTGATAGAACAGCCAAAGTAAAGGAAGAACACAACTGAAGTCTATCAGAAAAGGAGAAATCAAACTGACTTGAAAAAGTCATGTATAAATTTAACTTGAGGAAACATCAGGAATATAAACAACACATGAAAATATAATAATAGGCTTTTACATTATAAAAGAAGTCTAAGATTTACCAAAAAGATCTGTAATAACACACCACTGCTTATTTTTTTAAACAAATTTCCAAGCCACAATGTTAGTAAATCCCTAAAATGCGCTTCTATGCTGCTAAGAGGATTCCTTCCTCAGTATCTCACTAAGCTGATACATCTATTTTGGTGGAGTAAAACTAGTCTGAAATTCCATGGATCTAAAAGAAGCCTACTTAAAAAAAAATAAAATCAGGTTAAACAAAAAGGCTCAGCTGCTAGATTATTTTTTGAATTCTCCTTAACTCCTTCCTTGAATTAGCACGTTTATTACTGCAACTGGTGCCCAAAAAGTCTCACAGGAGACCGATTTGAGCAGGCTATGTTTTACCTACCTCTTGTATTCTTGTAACCAACTATGTATTACCAAAACTTCTGAAAATGTTTTATACAAAGGACATTTCCATTTTTAGTAAATGTGATAAGATTCTAATAAACTTAAGTCATAACTTTTCAACTTAAATAAACTTAAAATTGAACAGTATAAATCAAGAACTGAAAAACTGATATGAATCACTGTGTATACATTCCATACTGCACTGATATGCTGAGACTGACCAATTCTAAAATTATTTACTATATTTCCCCAGTTCTTAGCAGAATCATGACACTGCCACCTATCCAAAGTAAGACACTGTATTATTCTCCCCATATAACTTACTGGTTACTTATCTACAAATGAAGCTTTTACTTCCTGAGCCTAATTTAGGCCACTCTTTAAATATAGTTAATACTCCAGAATGAAAGATAGTTTTGTCAAAAATCAAGATGTAGGGATAATCCCACTACCATACTACTTATAAAGATGGTTTCTCCATGAGATACAAGGCAAAAGTTTTCTTTAGAAGTGACAAAGAATGTAACATGCACTCCAGACTTTTTTCCTTACAAAATTTCTAAGAAAATTTTCAAATTATATTTTATGACACACAAATGACAATCAGTGTGTGTGAAACATAACATTTTTAAATTCATATAAACAATATTTATGCATGAGGGAAACTATTAAAAGGGCGTTAATTTAGCGAAAGGTATGCACCCTATAGATCTACTTTGAGTCCTTAAAACAATTTAGGTAGTCTTCCATTAAGAAGACTATTATTTTTCATATGAATAACAATAATGCCTAAACGTACTAAAACCCTAAATCCCAGAGATGCTCAACATTAAAAACCAGGTAATTTTTCTCACATCAAGTGATTCAGTATTTAGCACTCATACAAGATTTAGCATTACAAAACGAAGTCTTACATTTACCTGAACTCATGTCAAATATGTTCACAGCACTCAGCTACAGCTACACTTGCAAATCGTCACACGACCAATGTGAACAAAAAGAGAAGAGTTTGGCACATGTATCAATTCCTCAGATCGTCCCTGGAACTCAACACAACACTGTTAAGAACGATGATTTGAACGCCAATGTTAACCTGATTGGCAGCTAAACAAGGTGCTTTTTCTTGTAGATTCACGTAGTGTCTCGGTGCACCTTGCCTGGGACGGAGGCACGTAAGGTGCAGGGCGGTAGTGCAATCGCTTGAACACCAGAGGGCTGTCTTCCCACACAGCGCGAGGTCTTCCTCAGGCTTTGACTTGCTCCGGCCACGTTCTTGCACAACTTCATTTCCACTTGCCCACAGTGCCATTTTCAGGAAATCTGTACATCTGTTTTCTTAAGTGAAATACACTGCCTCAGAAACCTCAGAGTGTAGCGAGGATCCTTGAGAAGGAGATGATTAGTGTCAGTACAGTCTGCCCGACGCCCCACACCAGCGCTTCCAGAGGGGCCATGTTCTTCCCGGCCACGCGGTAGATGCCCGCAACCGCTGCACCTGCAGGGAGACAAAGCATAGCTCACGTCCAACAGCGGCCACTCAGCATCTCTGCCCGACCAGTAAAGCCGAGTCTCTCGCTGAGACATTTAGCACATTTTCTGGGCTTCTGTGTGAGTGGTAGAAAGTTACCTTTACTTTACCACATTTAACCACTTAATAAAAAACAGCCTTTTCCATTCAACAAAAGATGCATGTATATAGAACATGCTGCATGTACAATCCCAATTTGTTCATCAAATAACCTGAATAAAGAAAGGAAATTGCTAGCTCAGGCTCCCTGGAATTGGCCAACAATGCTGTTATTTCAAACTTTACATAAGGTGAAGAGCCTGGTGCTAAAGCTAGACTTGCGGATTAAAATCCATTTTTTACCACTCAGCAGCTCACTACCCTGAGCAATCCTTCATCTCTCTTACCTTAGCTGTTCAACTACAAAGTCAGTGAGTGTGCAGACTGAGAGATAAGAGAATATCGTAACTGCTTAAACATACTAGTGCATACTCCACAAATTCTGGCTAGTGGTCCTTGCGGTAAATGATAATGGCTACTCCAGTCAGCAGTTTACCACTCAACAAATGTGTCAGAACAACCGGGGACCATTTGGAAGAAATAACTTGAGGTCTGTTTTACACCATTCCCTACAGTAAATTTCAGGGGGATTAAAGAACCAAATGCTAAAAATAAAGAGCCTCTACTTTAGTATCCTATGAAAAAAGATGATCTTAAAACCACAAAAGCAACAATTCAAAAGCTTTGACATTAAGGCAAAATAGAAAAGTGTTATATGTGAAATGAAACAAATATCAGCATCAATATAAACACACATACACTTGAACAAATGCACATATAATAACTGGGGCAGCACTTGCTGCAATCAAATAAAACCCAAACAAGTGTCCATCAGTTGGAAAGTAGGTAAAGTATATAAAGTCCATACCATGGAATGCATATAACTTCAAAATGAAAATACAGATCTTTATGAGCTGATACAGAACTTAAGATATATCATCGATGCAATAAAGAAAAAGAAAACATAAAACAATATATATTCTCTACCAGTATAAACATAAATACGTGTGTGTGTGTGTGTGTGTGTATATATATATATATATATATATATATATATATATGTATGTATGAATGAATGTAATGCATACACAAAAATCTAGGGGACAAATACTAAACTCAAAATAGGGATTACTCCTGAGCAGAGCAACTATATTAACTGTATTTTAAATCTGTAACACATGTGCCACACCAAGGCAGGATGGTAATTAACAGGAAACAGGAGAGTGGGTGTATGGGAACCCTCTGTACTTTCTGCAAACCTAAAACACATTACAAATAAAGTACTACTTGAAAACAACACAAAAAGATTTATATACAAAATACAGTGGTATGTTACTTATATAATTAAAATTTTTAAATCTAATTTAATTTCTATATCTAATTTGCCTAAATTTCCCTATATACCTAAGAAGCTTTTGTTTTACAGGTCAAGATATCTTTTCATCCTATTATTCAAACAAAAATCACTGTATATGATGACAAAATTCAGTAAACTTGATTTTAAGCAGTAGGGAATAAATTTATGTTGGGCTCACTCCTTCTCCATTCTGCTATGTGTCAGTTATCTTAATTGTTGACCTGTTTAGATACAGAGACTCCTGAGGAGGTAGCCAGGTCATAGCGGTGCTGTACTCTGCAGTGGATTCATCTCCTAATGTTAAGAGCTGAATGTGCTGCTAGGAGAGTGGTCCCCAGAGGAGGAGGTGGTCACAGGGCTATGCCTTTAGAGGGTGTTTCTCTTCCCAGTCCTCCTGAAACTCTGCTTCCAGTTGCTATTAAGAGAGCAGCTGTGCTCCACCATCCCTCCCTCTCCCACCATGATGTTCCAGCTCTGTAGCAGCCATCCATGGACTGAAACCTCTGAACCATAAGCCAAATTAAACCACCCCTCTTTAAAGTTGCGTCAGGTACGCTGTCCCAGTAATGGGAAAGCTGACCAATACATACTGATGCTGACTGCTTCTATAAACATTCTTGTAACCCTTGCATGCAGAAGCAGTCAAGAGTGTCTCCATGATCCATGGGTAAGAGGAGAATTGCTCAGCCCTATGATATGGGCATTTTCAACTTTACTAGCCAATTTAAATTGTTTTTCTAAATTAATTGTACCAACTTAGGTCCCAGTTACTCCATATCCTCAGAAGCAGTTGATATTTTTTTTGCCAATCTCTATCATAATTTGTAATTCCTTGATGATGTGACTGAACTTTGCGTGATAGCAAAAGGTTTTTTAATGCATCAGGTTTTAGCCATCACGTTTTTTAATGCATAAAATGCTCATCAAATTTTGTGTCCATTTTTCTACTGGGTTGTCTTCTTCTGAGTCACTTTTCTCATCACTGGGACAAAATATCCAATACTCACAACTAAAAGGAGGAGAGGTCTGTACTGGCCCACATTTTAGTCCCAAATCCTGGCTCCAAGGAAAGATAGCATGGCACAGAGGTATGGTGGAGGAATAGTTACTTACCTCATGACATTCAGGAAGCAGAGAGAGGAGGGAGAAGCTGAGGTGGAGATAAGTCCCTCCAGGCCACACCACCAGGGACCATCTCCTCTGACCAGGTCCTACCTCCTAATAGCAAGTCGGCTACAAGCCCCATAATCTCATCTCCTTCCAAATGTCCTGCCTATGAGCACCTGAGGTCAGGGGGGGACATCCACAGATAAACCGTAACATCCCAGACCAAATATGGTCCACTTCCTATGCTTGTACAGCTTGTGAGCTGGGAATGGTTTGTACATCTTTAAACGGTCAGGAAGAACCTAAAGACTATTTTGTGATACATGAAAATTAGATGAAATTTCAACTTCAGTACCTACATGCAATGTTGTACTGGAACATAGCTGCACAGGTATCTGACACTGAGCTACCTCTGCAATCCAAGGATAACATTCACACAGTGAACGAGCCTCTACTTTTGTTTGGTATCACGTTCTCACTGGCCTGAGGAAAATAAGCTGTGTACCATGTTCACTCCTATTTTCTACAGTAAGTTGGTAAATAAGAAACAACTATTTCTTAAAAATTTGAGAGAGCTCATCTGTAAGCCCCATTTGGGTGTGAGGTTTTTGGGAGAAAGAATCTATAACATTTCTTTAAAAAATAATTATTATCCTATTAATATTTTCCACAGGCCAACTTTGATATTTTATATTTAGGAACATGTATTCATAAAACTGCTTGTTATAATTATTTCATTTTTTATCTTTATTACTGAAAAAGTTACTTTTATCATAATCTATATGTTACTTTTCCACCTCTTTTTTAGTTTACCAGTAATCTGTCTACCTCATCTCTCCAAATAGCTAGTTTTTTGTTAATCTGCCATGAAGACAACTTGTAAAAGTTATAGTAACTCACTATATCAATAAGACTAAACAATATATTTAAGAAGATGCCATAAATAACAGTTTAAGTGTTTAGGAATTAACTTAGTAAAAAATATATACAAATCTCCTCTGAGAAAAATAATAAAACACAAAGATGATCTCAATAAATGGAAATGCATTACATGGTCATAGGTGGCATAATTTAATAAACCAGTGAGTCCCAAATTCACCTCTATATTCAATTAATTCTGAATAAAATCATAACTCACCCTTTTGGGGGAGCAAGTAGACATATTCTGAAATTTACATGAAATAATAAGGTCCAAAACTAGCTATGTTAAATGTGAGAAGAAAAGTAACAGCAAGGGCCTATCCCTGAGAGATAGCAAGACTTACTATAAAACCACAGGCCCAAGACAAGACTGACCCCTCTATAACAGAAGAGACCAACAAATCCTAACAGAATTCAGACAGCTCCCTGTGCCTTCAGAGTGTAACGCACAAAAAGATGGCATTACGACATCAACGAGGCAATGAAGGAGTTTTTAATGGGTGGTGTGATAAAAACTGACTATGTAGAAGGGGAAAAATTCCCACCTGGGATCCCACCTAATACCAAAGTCAAAGGAAGACTCTGGACTAGGGGTAAACTGTGGTCTGTTCTGGCAAGAAAATATTTTTACTGGAACAAGCCACACCTATCCTTTTCGTACGCCTCTGTCTGCTTTTGTGCTACAGTGGCAGAACTGAATAGTCGTGATAGAGGCCACTGACCCACAAAGTCTAAAATACTTATAATCTGGCCCTTTAAGAAAATGTTTGTTAACTTCTGATCTAGATAAATTGAAGAACTTAATATAAAATTATAAAATGAACAGAAGAAAATACATGAGAATATCTTTTGACCTTGTTATGAAAAACAACTTCTTAAACAAAGCCCTAACGAGATTATTAACCATGAGGAAAAAACTCTTTAAGCTGATTACACTGAAGTAAAGCATTTCTACTCAGTAAATAACACCACGGATGAAGCCAACTGATCAAAGACTGAAAGAAGTCTTTGCCAAGTCCAAGACCAATAAGAGAGCAATCTCTAGTACATGAGAAACACCTGTAATTTAATAAGAAGGAAACAAAAGCATTCAAAGAAGATCACAGATTTAAAGAAGCAATGGGCAGAGAAGAAAACCTACATATGTAACAAGCACAGGAAAAGATACTGCCTTTCATTAGAATACTGAGAAATGTAAATAAGCCAATAATGAAGTGTTACTATTCTACATGTGCAGTCGGACTGAAATGAAAGAGTTAAGGTTAAACATGTATGGAAAGGAACTCGGTTTGTACCAGTTCTAGCATGAATTATCAATATAAACCAAAATGAAAAAAGATCACTCTCCTTTGGAAATAAAATTCCAGAGGCATCAAATATAGACATGCACCAAACTGTATTCAATTAGCACTCTATTGAATATGGATAGTCATAGTTGTTTGCTGAATGAATAGACAGCTAATTTATACCGACAGATAAATAGCTATACATAGATAGCTATGAGTGACCTAGTACTCATCATGTGCATTAAGAAAATAAATACAACTAAATATTCATGTTTACTAGTTTTAATTCAAGTCTGCAAGTCACAAAATTAGTGAGAAAAAATTTAAATATTTATTAATGTGGGCATAAATTTTTCCTTGAAATTGTGTCAGACGCATATTTTCAAGGATTTTAAATTAGAACCCTGCAGTTTCTAAAATCATCGGCTTATTTTATTCTTGACTAAATTAAAAGTGGGATATATATATGCATACGCATATCATTAGAGATAAATGGAAGATTACATTTCTCACCCTCCTGAAAGTTGGGCAATAATGTGTACACATGCAAGCTGCTCCTACTCCCCTCCTCCTCTGTGCATGGTTCCGACAATGGCAGCCCTTCTGCCTCTCTCTAAAAGCCACCCCAGTGAATAATAACCTATTTGGATTTTTTGTCCTTTGTCACAGTCCTTACATCAACTCTTTCCTTTTCAACCCACAGCCATTACTCTCAATCAGCTCCAAGTCTCAAGCTTAGAAGCTAGTTAATACCTCATAATTCTTGTTTTTTCCTTCTTGCCTCTCTTTATTCTTTCCTGCGTTCTTCCTCATTCTATCCATTCATCCAAACAATATTCTGAGCATCTATTATGTTCTAGTATTGTTTTATTGTTGAAGGTGCAGTGGTGATAAAGATAATCTCCTTGCTCTTTCTCGGTTTTCTCTTGGTACTTTACCTATATTCTTTGCTCAACTATAAAACAGATTTTCCTACTGAACTGCTCTGTCTCTTGCCCAACCCATTCAAAACTATCCACTTATTTTCCATGGTCTGCAAGATCAAAGTCCGTATCTCCTGGCTGGTCCGCCAACACCTGCTAGGATCTAGTCCCATTCTCTCCTCCCTGCTCAACCCCTGAGGCTCCACCATGTACATCCTGTGCTTCAACCTCTTTGTTTAAAGCCCCGCGTATCACAGAATGAGGTGATGCGAGGCTCCCTGCAGAGAGAACAAAAGCACCTACACAAACTCAATACAAGATAGCACAGAAAATCCAAATAGCAAATAAACAAAGGCTGAGAAAAGAGACTACTTGCCACCCCCACAAATATTTTATGACTGTCATCTCAGTGCCAGGGAACATACCCAGCAACATGGAAACAGGACTTTCCTCTCAAGGCAAGGGATGTCGCTCACTGTGAACAGGGAAAGGAGTGAGGCCCTTGAACTATGAAGGTAAAAGTCTTTCCCTTAATTCCGGGCCAACAATGCACTGAAAGGAAGAAGCCCTTCATGCACAGCCCCAAACAGATACAGGGGCAGTGGTGAGCTGCCCATTCATAGGGAAGTGGGCCAGAAGCAGATGCAGTGCATGCCTCTGTTGTTCAGTGGGGTACAGAACAAGTAGCGCCACAGGGAAGCGGGCAGCTGCTCCACAACCACGTTAAGGGCACAGCTGTGGCCCTCCGTTCTCAACAGGACACAGCCGAGCTCTGCTCAAGTAGCAGATGCAGAAACCAGGGCTAACTGTGAAGGCAAGGCTGGAGCCGGGGTCCAAGTTCAATGTCAAGAGAGAACATCGGGGAAGAGCTTTGGAGAGCTGTAAGAAAGTGCGAAAGGCAGCAGAGGAGAGCACTTGCAGGTGCGCGGAGGACCCTGTAGAGTGACTAAGTTTTCGCAGGCCAGAAAGACTTGTGTCTTTTGTGTATAAAAGAAATGCAATTATATTTTGTTGTCACATGCAGATGACACAAAGGACCTACAGGCAGCATTTTCACTTTTTAAGTGACAATTACCATATTTTTGTGTCTACCTACCTTCTTTATTAGTGAGTGACTTTAAAGTAGACAGTACATTCACTGTAGGATAAATTTTCCCATTGAAGTTCCAGATTTTTCTGTTTCCCACAAACCTTGTATAATGACAACTATCAGCTCAATGAGTAAGTCACCATCTTTGCCACAGAGGTGACAGCTGTAAAGTGTTGAAGCGTATTCTACATGCACACTGCAATGTTACATTTATAAGATAGTAAGAACAGTTATCAACATGGTAAGTGCATAAAAAACTGTGTCCTTGAACGAAATCAAACCAACTCACTAGTAATCATTGCTCCAGTTACAGAGGCCAGAAAGCCAACGCTGACCGCGATGACGGAGATCACTCTTCCATGCCTGTGCCTCTGCAGCATCACAAACATCAACACTCCTGCAGCACCATGGACAAACAGTGAGGAAAAAAGAGCCCAGAGGAAGATCCAGTACCACATCTCTGAAAGGGAAAGCAAAGTGTGCATCAGTCCACTGAGACCCACCTTAGAAAATCTAGTTAACAAACAGGGAGTACTTGTGATTGGGGGAAGGTTAAACGAGAGAATGCGTCTGCAAGGCCTAGCACAGCACCTGACGTGTGGTAGTATTAAGTAAGTCACAGCAATCATCATCATCATCACCATCACTAGTGCTTGAGGGAAAAATTCTCTCCACGATTTCAGAAGGCAAAGGCCACATTCTCATTTCCTCTGAGTCCCCACTATTGGTTATCTCCATCCCTCATCTCCCAAGCCCCATACACCTGCAAACTTCTTGGAATTAATTATAAAAGTTAATTCATTTCCATTTGCTGTAACTTTTTAAAAAATTTTACATGAGGCTGGGGGTGGTGGCACACACCTGTAATCCCAGCACTTGGGAGGCTAGGTAGTAGGATTACTGCAGGTTCAAAGCCAGTCTTTGCTACAAACTGAGCTTATGGCCAGCCTGAACCGCATAGTGAAACCTTGTCTCCAAAGGACAAAAAAAAAAAAAAAGGTTTTTTTAAACACAAAAGAGCAGAGATTTTTTTTTTAAAAAATGCCTAATTCATTTCAGAGATATCAGTCAATAATTTTATCTGTTATGACTTTAAAAATGTCATGCAATTCCCCTTGTTGCCCTCAACCCAATCTGTTTTGCCTCTGGTTACCCTAATAGTTCTTCCACAGAACTTTTCCAACTATGTTCTTTTGTTCAGTGTGGGATCAATCAACTGCCCATTGATGTTTCAATTCATAAACAATGGACAAGCACTATCTTCACTGTCTCTAGCATTCATTCTGTTTCTTCAGGTACGCTCCTGTCTCCTAGTCAATCCACAGATCTCCCTACATCCCTACATAGACCCCCTCTTCCTGCCCATACTTGTGATGTACAACAGGCCAGCAATTATTCCACGCTGGGCCAAGCACTGTCTTCCCCTGAGAATTCTGGATTGGTACCAACTGTGTCTCCTTGGTCTTTGTGTAGCTGAAGCAGAAGCCATCTCTTCATCATACCATGAAAGCCACAATGCAGAAAAATAGATCCACCAAAGACTAGTGACAACTAAATCCCTTATTCCAGTGATTATGGCCTGTTATATTAAAAATCCCCCTTTTATTTAAACAAGTTCAATAATTTCTGTTACTTATCACTGGAAAGAGCTGACTCCAAAATTGCATAGCTGTCCCCTTGAGGATTACTGCTGGTACACAAACACTCTGTAATGAACAGTATCCCATCTGCTATGTGTGCTAAGGAGTCAGTCTGTCCAGTGCAAGAATCAGTAAAATAGTCATTCAATAAAAGATATAAAAAAGCATTAATTAAAACAAATTTATCCAAACATCATTAAGGTATGAATATTTAATGTCTGTAGGAATTTAAAATGGTGCAGCTGCTATGAAAAACAGCACGACAATTCCTTAAAAAACCCTAAAAATAGAATTATCATATGATCCAGCACTTTCACTTCTGATTATGTACCCCCCAAAAATGAATCTCCAAGAGACACTGGCATAACCATGCTCGTAACAGCACTATTTGTAATAGCCAATGGAAAGAAGTAACTCAAGGGTCCCTCAACAGATGGATGAACAAACACTACATACATATATAATGGGAAATTTCTCAGTTTTAAAAGGGAAGGAAAATCTGTCACATGCCACAACATGGAAGAAACCTTGAGGAAAGTTTGCTCAGTGAAATATACCTGTCACAAAAGACCTAATGCTATGATTCTGCTTATATGAGGTACCCAAGTAGCCAAATTTACGCAAACAGTAAATAGAATACTGACTTCCAGGGGCTGGGGAGGTGAGAATGGGGACCTGTTGGGTCTAATAGGGACAGAGTTTCAGTTCTGCAAGCTTTAAAGGATCTGGAGATCTATTGCAAAACAATGAGAGTATACGCAATACTTACCGAACTATACACTTAAAATGGTAACTTTTATATACTGTGGTATAAAAAGAAATATATTTCACTTTTGTCCCCAGTTCCTAGCACAGAACTCCTAAAACCCTTCCAATTTCCTGACAGTCAGAGGTGTTTTTGTTATTTATAATGAGTCTCTTCTGATTACACTTGAGTTTACGCTAATGAAGTGACAGGGTGGGGTTCCCTCCAGGGGACCGGTCACCAAAAAGACCCTGTGAGTACTCGGCTACAACTCTCAGCCCATCACCTCAGGAAAGAAGAAGGGGCCGGAAGTTAAGCCCGTGGACACTCAGGAGCACTAAGTCTGATGTGCTCTGGGTCACACAGCACACACTGGGCAGCGGGAGGAAGGTGTGCCCGGAAGACGCGGAATCTCCACAATTCCCGTTCCCTTCCCTCCCTGTCCTATGCATGTCTTTTACCTGGAGGGTCCCGAGCTGTGTCTTTTATAATAAACAGGTAAGAACAAATGAGTGGTCTCCTGACTTCTGAGAGCTGTTAGAGCAAATGTTCAAACCCCACGGGGAGGGGTACAGGCTTTGCGATTTACAGAGACTCAGACTAGACTGGCATCTGAAGCGGAGGCAGTCCTGTGCGACTGCACCCCAAACTTGTGGACTCTGGTGACTGAATGAATCGAGCACATCCAGCTGGTGTTCTGGGGAACTGCCCGGCGTGGAAAAACACATATCTGGTCACTGACTTATTCTGTATGAGGGTAGAGGAAACCCTGCATGGGTTTCACCATATATGGAGTTTTTAAACCACTGTTTAAATATGTAAAAACATATAAAGCATGAATATAAATTCTAAACAGTTCTTTAAGTCAAGACCATAATGACAGAAAGTTAACAAGGAAAACTGTCTTTAAAACATGAAAAGAGGTGTTATAAAAGGGCAACATAAGAGAGCTTTGTGGCCACGGGACTGCTGTGCACCGAGGCCGAGGCAGTGCGTACACAGAACTGTCAGAGCCAAAGACACACAAAGGAGTGCGAGTACACAGTGGTCCTGGGAAGTCTGAGTAAGAACAGTGGGCTGTATCCATGTCGGTCTCCTCGTTCTGATGTTATACTGTGGAGTTTCACGGAATTTCCACTGGGTAAACTACATAAATGGTATGCAGGCTTTCCACGTATTATTCCTTCACTGTTGAATGTGAACGCTACCATTACTTCAAAATAAAAAGTTTAATTTTAAGAAAGGAGGGGACATAGAGAATTCTTTAAAAATCAATTTGAGAATGAACTCAAACAATATGAAGTCATTTCAAAGAAGAGACATTTGATCTCTTTATTTTACAGCATGTGTTAAAATACCATGCAGACTCCTTGATGGTGTAAGATTCAGACACTGGTGACTAAGGAAAACAGATAAAGCTGGCCTTTTAGAGGGTTTTCTCTTCCAGCTTTCAGAGAAATAGTGCTTTCCCATCACGCTGTCACTTCCAAATAGCTTCAATTTACAATAAATGCATTAAAAATTAAAAAGCTTAACTGCTCAGAAGATATCTGTATATTAAAAGACACACTTTCCCAAAGTGAGCCTAATGAAGTGAGAAGACAAGAATGCAATAATACAAAGGGTGAGAGGAAGGATTTTCATCATGGAGCTCTTCCCAAGTCTTACTCTGAGGCAAGGGAAGAGTTAACAGCGTGGTACTCTTCAGTAAGAGAACTCAGGGATTTGCCTTGTATCCCAAGCCTGCTTAGGAAAGCTTAAAAGATCTACCCCCTGCACAAGGCCTTTTGTTTGTTGTTCTTGTAATACAATTACAGGGAATAATTCCTTGACTATATTTAACACTATGAACCAGGCATTATCTGACATCATAAAAAGCAGTACTGTTTGCCTGTTGAATATATTATTATGGACCTCAACAATAAACATACCCAGTAACAAGGAAAGGTATATTTTAATATTTTATAAAGATCCAAGACTGAAAAAAATCATACAACTAAAATGGACTCTTAAATGATGACCAGTCCAGACTGCCTTTTAAGCAGACTGATCCTGGAACAAATGACACCAAACACAAGGTTATTTTCATGGTTCTTACTTTTTTCTTAGAAAGTATATTATACTGTTTATCAGGGAAAAAACTGAACTTTGCTGAGAACATTTATTATGCTAGGCTTCATTTTACCACCATTATTTTGAATGACCTGCTAGATCAATGTAACCTTGTGGAAGCAGGGCTTCCACAGGTTTTGACCTCTCTGAGTAAGCAAGTCTGTCTGAGGATCCACTCACAACCAGCAATCACATAAAACCTATGGGTGGTTCAGATGAAGAGAACTGCAGGACCATGCAGAGGAAGAACAGGTGTCCAGAAGAAGAGGGCCTTGTCTTACTTAATCTGGGGGACTCACTGAAAACTGTATCTCTAAGATGGGTTCAGTTGAAGAACTTGTCCTGTGATGATTATACTAAAATCTACCAAACCCAAAAGCTAAAGCATATTAGTCAGTAAGTTTTTCTGATATATGCAGTAAAAGGAAATTAAAAGCATTATTTCCAAGTTGAATCTGCTATATAAATTCAGCCAAATATGAATCCCACATACCAAGAGGATCTCATCTCACAGTCTTGCACTTTGCTTTACTTTTTTTCCCAAAGAATTTTACGTTTGGGTATGCATGACAAGAGGTGACAAGAAATAGAAGCTGGGATCGCTATGATTAACCTTAGTATATTGGAAACCAAAGAGATACTGAATGTTACTAAATACAGCTTAAGAATCAGAGAGAATGTTAGAATCAATCAGGCTGACCTTTGCATTCCAAAATAGACACCAAAGTTTGGGCATAACTGTCACCAGCAATGTCCAAATAACCAACACCTGGTTGATGAGTATTATCTACAATACCCAAAATGCTACTTCCCTCTTCAGAGCACAGACAAGATGATACTTGATTTTGTGGCTAAAATAAGACTTTTTGATTTGTGAGTAAGGTCTTGGACCACCAAGCAGTACGAGATCCAGTTCTGAGCAATACTTGCTTAGCTTAAGACAAGAAATGGTGGCTCTTGAAT